ATGGTATTTTATCTAAATGATTCTTTTATTAACTCAGATAAAATATTTATTCATTTGTTAACTATTTACTAGGTACCTACTTTCTCAGATATTCTGTCTTGGTAAATGTAGGATATCAAAAATAATTCACCTTCTCTAATAAACTAAGAATCTGACAGTATCCTCAAGGATTCATGGAAAAAAGGGGTAGGGAGGGAAGACAGAGAGATAAAAGAAAGAAAAAATAGTAAAAAGCAATAAATATAGTTTTTAACAAAGGAATCTAGGACATCTATGTTTTTAATTAGAAAGAGGAAATACAGTTCAAGCTAGACAGGCCTAAAAGTTCCCCTCCCCACTCCACTTTACAGATGAGGAAACTAAGGCTCAGAGAGGGAAGTGACTTGCCTCAAGTTACACATCAAGTTGCCAGCAAAACCAAAATCAAAACTCAGATCTGCTGATTCACAGTGCCATGTGAATTTTCTACATCAAAATATTCTTCTATACCATAATATTCACTAGCTAAAGTTAGAATAACTATTTTCTTATTAATATATACTTCAATTCTATATTATACCATACTAAAAAAGAAAGTAATAGGCTAAGTAAAAGGGGGAGATGTAAGAAAATGCACACAACTTCTCAGTTACACAAAAAGACTACACGCATGTACCACACTTTCTCAATTCTGAGACACATGTGACTGTAAGACATAGTATCCATTTCATAAACCCTTTGAAATAAATACAGACACTGTAAAATACATCCTCATTTCAAAAATTACTAAAACAGAAAACATACACCTCTAAATGTAATATAATGCACCCTATAAGACCTAGCCTACACAGGACCCACAATGCACTAAAGTCCTCTCATTTAAGAGCCCGAGTCACAAGGCACAACCACACAAAGCAGGAGTCCTATCTTCTAAGGTAACAAACACTAAATACCTAAGGCTATGTGGCATTTTTTTCAATTGTAGGTATTAATATAAACAAGTCCTTCGTGCCATTTGTCTCATATGCATGAGTTGAGGAGTTAGACAAAGCAAGGTTTGAATCTCAGCTCTGCCACTTAGCTCCCTGACCTCTGGAAAGTTACTAACTTCTCTGAGCCTCAATCTCTTCATCTGTAAAATGGGATCTCCACCTAGAGAACTGTGTGACAATTAAATGTGATAATTTATTTAAGGAACATAGCATAGTGCCTAGATGAAATATTAAGTTTCCTCTCACAATCCCTCTGGGCCAAATGAAATTAAACTAAAAACTAAGTCCTATTCTTGACTTACAAGATTCCTCTATCTCCATTTTAGAGATTAGAATATATCTAAAATGATCCTAGTGCAAATCCTACTAGTTTGCTTTGAAATAATTATTTGATAAGAAAAGCTTATTTTTTTGAAATTTGTCTCTTTTCTTCTTAATTGGGAACAGAAAACAATGACGAATCGTAAGTGTTTAAGTTAAATAAGGTATATGTAAATTCAGCACTTTCATATTGTCTTAGCCCATTACAAACCCACTGAAGAGAGGAACTATAGAACCAATGTGTGGGAAGAGGGAAGGGTGTAAGGCTAAAACACATAATTAAAACGACTCAATTGTACGAGTGGTTTGTTTTTTGTAACCTTAAATTCATTTATTATACTCTAAGAAAACAATGTTCAGGAGAGCCAAAACCATATCTCCACGATTCAGGGTGCTTTAGTAACCTGATCCCTCAGATTAAGCAAATACCATTTTTCAGGAAGGACAGTTTCAGGATGTTTCCACCAGTAAAAATCCAGCCATTTCCAAGATGGGTACATGCCTACCAAAGTGGATGATGTACATTAGGTACTGAAATAAGACCATCTTTTCTCCTACCCCAAACATAGTACAGACTAGCCCACCCACATATTCCCTCACTATAAGCTCACTTCAGTTGAAGGATTTTTCTCCAGTAATTATGAAAATAACAATGTTCGTTTTTTAAAACTTGGAAAAACACAACAAGTACAAGCATTTTTAAACCACTCATGAGCTCATAAGACAAAGACTTAAACTATTACAAGGGGACATAGCAACCTCTTTCCTATGAATTTGACCATAACTGTGATCATATCAAATTTTAAATTTGTATAGAGCACTTGCCACTAAACATGATTAACTTTCTTGAGACTAAATTCATGTTACTTTTTTCCTTACTTAACTCAGGAGTTCTTCTCAATCTTGGTTCTCTCAGCTACCTATTTTGCTGCTGACCACTTCCTCTTTCCTAAAACTCTATTTGAAGTTTCCCTTAACAGTTTATGCCTCAGTGTCTACAAAAGTCTCTCCAACTAATCTTTTTCTTTTTCTTCACTGGCTCTCTTCTGTTAACTCCTGACAATCTAAAAAAATGGCTCAATACTTCAATCAAAAAAATAAAAATAAAAAAATAAATAAAAATAAAACAAGAGCAGGATACAATAGAATAGGAACATTCAAATAACAAAAAAGAACTCTTGAAAATTAAAAATGTGCACCAGAAATTTAAAAAAAAAAAAAAGGCTCAGGCCTCATCTTTGGATTAGCTTGTTAACTTTGAATCTCCAGCACTTCACACAGAGCCACTTATGAAGCAGATGCTCTCTTAACATTTACTGATTGACTGTGTCAGTCCTGACCTGCCACTTACTAGACGGGTGACCCTGGGAAAATTAAATCTTTCTGAATCTATAAAATAGGGATAATGAAAAAGGAAGATGATGTTTGGAAAGCTCAAAACTGTCTTGCACTAAGTAGCACCCAATAAATTTTGCTATTATCATCAACATAATCTAGTACAGGACTCGAAAATGTCACTGATTATTATATATGGTTGAAGACTAAATCTACCTCTTAATAACCCAACTTACTTTCACCATATTTGCTTATCATAACTATCAAAAAATATTTCTGTGTTCTTTCCTTTCTACCTATCTCCTATCCATCACCAACTATTATAATTCTTCTCTCCTAGCCACCATGCAGAACCATCATTTATTAACTAAGCTACAATAACAGACTTAGTTAATTTCCACACTCTTAAATCTTCAATTTCTCCAAATTTTTAATTTGTCACTCTTGTCCACAGTTGCTAATAGCATGTCCTCATCCTTACGTCTTCCAATAACCCATATCCCAACTCCTCGCTCAAAAAATGACTCAAAACTCACCTCTTCCAGGAAACCTTCCCTGATTAACTCCAGACCACTTGAATTACTTCTCTGCTCCCAGTAGCCTCAGCATCTCAGCACTGAGGTATTCTGTTATACTAAGGGTAAAATGTGATCAGTGAAAATAGCATTGCCAAGAAATTACTTCCACAAAATTATTTCTACATCCTAAAGAATGATCCATTCGCTATAATGCTTTGCTGATCTAGTCAATAAGCAAACATCCTACACAACAAATGCCCTCTTTGGTTTCTGTCCTTGACACTATACTATCTTATGTTTCTCAAGAAGTGCTTAACTCTTCACAACCCTTTCATCCTACCCTCAGGCAGAAATTATACCTCTGTGCCTATATCTCCTCCCATTTAAATCCACTGGAAATTTGGCAGGTGGTCACTTTTTTTTCCTATTCCTTCTTCTCTGGCCCAACCTCTACCCACACCCCATAAATAAAACTTCCAAGAAGGCAGTAGCAATGAAACACACATACTATGTGTTTCTTTCCTCTAAGTGAAAAGAACTTGCAAACTATTTAGCTACAAAACTCTTCTCAAGGCTGAAAAATTTCCCAACAAACACGATACATAAACTCTACTACATCAAAATAGTTGAGCCTAGAAAACAGGATTGTATTTATATATTAATTCTCACTTGTGTTACTCTAAGAAATCTTGCATCATTTTTAAGCTACATTACACATGCCCAACAAGGGAAGTTGAGAAACTCCCCTGCAGGGCCGATTTTCTGTATCTTCCGATGTTGTCTTTCAGCCAACACATTCTACTTTTTATTTAATATAAAGTATTAACTGATTCCTCACTGCCATCCAATCAAAAGCAAACAATACTTGTGTCATTACTTCTGAGAGGGTGCGTCTGTCTGCTGCTGAGGCAAAACAATTAGATGAACTATCCCGAGGGTGGTAGGAGGGGTGGGGAGGGACGACGATCAGCCTCAGTAGTCAGTTAAATCTGTTCGGCCCTGGACCACGAGTGAATGAACCTAAGAACCTGCCCGACTCCTACCTGGGACATTCGGCTCTCCTGTGTCAGCCAAAACGAACAGTTGTTCTTGCCCACTTACTCATAAAAGGTCCACACCCTTCGGCTATCACAGACAAAACTACCTCGTTCGCTCTTCGTAGACTTGCTCCTAACTGGCCACCTAACGCCTTCTAGTCAAACAGTCTCCATCCACACCTCACCTGAAACCTTCTCCTCTCGGTCACCGCCGTTTTCAGTAGGTGCCTCTCACTCCAGCTCCACGTGTCCCCATTTGTCCAGAGATCTTAACCTTCAAACCCCAAGCCTCTCGTCCCTCCACTCCCAGCTGATTTCCCCCCACCCCCGTCAATGCCTACTTGCAAGAGGCCAACCACACTCCCCGGCTCCGCACTTTGTCCCCGGGCACTCTTATCTGAGTATCGCCTTTTTCCCATCACTTATTTCCTCCCCAGACCCGGAATCCTGCCATCGCAGGCCTCCCTGGCGGCCACCCTCGGGCACACGAGCTCGCTCCGCCGTTAACCACCCCGCCCCACCTTCGCCACCTCGACGCGGCCTCCACACCCCAGGCGGCGCCCCCGGGCTCCGCGGCTGCAAACCAGGCCCCTCTCTACGTCCCCACTCGCGGTCCCGGCCCTGCCGAGGGCGGCGGCCCGGCCGAGCCGCGCAGACACCGTCCGGGCCGAAGAGGGCGCCCCCGGCTCTGGGTGGCCGAGGGTGGGGCTGGGGCGGGGCGGCGGGTGTCCCCACGCCTCGGCCTGACCCGCCGCCCCGGCTCCCGCAGCCGCCGCCCGGGGCCAGGCGAGGAGGGGCCCGCGCCCCCCGCCTCTCACCTAGACGCAGAGGCTGGGGCCTCGCTTTCCCCCGGGCCGTCCAGCGATGGCTCCGCCGCCGTCGCGCTCTCCCCACTCGCTCTTCCACCGCCCCCGACCGGCCGCTAAAGAGCGGACGAGCAGCGGCACGCCCATTGGCTGCGGCCCGCGCTCGCGTCAGCCGACCCCGACCTGGACCTCGCGATGTGACTGGCTGGCGCGGCGCCTCTTTTCCACGTCGGGGCCTGATTGGCTGTCTCGTGCCCCCATCACCAGGAGGACCGCTCACCCTCCTCCCGGCTTCGACCTCCCACCCCCCAACCCCGTTTCCGTCCGGGCGGGAGGGGGGCGGGAGCCGGCGCGGGTGGGACGCGAAGTGCCAATGGGGGCGCCGAGAGAGGCCCGGGAGGTGGGCTCTCGGCCGGCCGGCCGGCCCGCGGAGGGAAGTTCAGCCAATGGGGGCGCGCACCACATCCCGGGTTCAGGAGCGCCCCCACCCTGGCCGCTGGCGTTCTGGCGGGGTGCGCCCAGGGCCACGCCCGGCTGCCTGTCGCACGGGAGGGGCTCCCGCTGGAAAGGTGGGGAGGATGCGGCGAGGCCGGCTCGGAAAGCGCGGGGCAGCCATTGTGGCGTGCTCGGTACTGCCTGCGTGGGCCCCGGAGCGCCTTATGGTGGCGCTGGCTCAGGTCACTGAGGATGGAGTCGTCGCTCCGTGGACCCCTGGAACCTCCGCCAGATGCCCATTAGGGAGGGAGCCGAGCGTCTGGTCCAGCCCCGCAGGACTCTGGGCAAAACTTACCAGTGGTGACAGAAGTTAGAATAATGGTTACCTCTGGGGGGGATGGAGGGACACAGGGGAACCTAACGGGAGGTGGAAACCCTGTGTCTTGATCCGGGTGGTAGTTACAGAAGTGTATACATATGTAAAAAATTAATCGAGCTGTACACTTAATATTAGTGCACTCAACACACTGTATAATATCTCAATTTTTAAAATAATAAAACGTTGTGAGAATAACTGTAATAACATTACCATAATCTTAGGCTCCATGTGACTCCCATGGTATAAACAATCTCAGTAGGATTTAGCTATCTTTCAAAAACTACAAACCATAGGAAGAAAAACAAAAGGATTGTGAGGATTAAAACTGAGTGAAAGCTCCTGGCACAGTGAATAACACACACAGGTTGATACTTTAAAGATGACCCAAGATGGTTCAGAGTGATTTTTCTTTGAGGATTTAGAGCTTGTTTCAGTGCCTGGCCCTGTTAGTAGCCCAAAAACACCCATGGTGCTGCACCCAGTTGAAAAGGACAAAGTTTCCTGAGCTGCGTACTTTGTTTCTAACCTACATTCTGAACCCAGGAAACTTTAATTTGAATACCATGGCTTCTGCCCTGGAGGAGCTCACAGTCTAGCACTAAGTAGTTATTCCTGGAGGAGGGCACAGAACACAGTTAACATAGCTGCTTACCCTCAGGGATGAGGCATTCTGCTAGGTTAGGCAAGTTGTGTGTGCCTAGAACCCAGTCCAGCGGCAGAATTCTGAAATAGCCAGGGTTAGGTGAAACACTTAGGAATGAGTCAGTAATATTCTCCCCAAAACAAACAGGAACTCGGGGCCAAATTCAAGCCTGTGAAAGGGCAGCGGCAAAACTGTTGAAGATTACAAGATTCGTATTTATTCATTTAGTTGTTAAGTTGTTCAATTCAGATAAATGCCCTTGTTTAAAGTACTTGTCTCTGAAGTAGGAACAAAAAGATAAGACAGTATTTTCCACAAAGCATAGGGTGCAGTAGGGAGACAGACATAAACAGATAATGCCAGTATAATGCAGGATGAGGGTATACATATAAAGAGGATCTAACCCAACCAAGGGGATTTAGGGACATCTTAGAAGACAAAAGCTAAGTTAACCACTGCTGAGGTTTATCAGCATACCATATGCAATTAGACATTATTTCTGGAGAATACTTTCATTACAAATTTTAAAAATTTTTGTGCAAATATCTTGATTTTTTAAAATAGCTATATATAAATACAAAAACATAAATTAATACTTAGTTCTGAGGAAAACACGTGAAGTTAAGTAATTACTTAATGAGAACATTATGATTTTCAAAAATAACTTTAGTAGTAAGAGAATAAAGGCATCTCATTTGGTTCAAGTCAATGTGTATGTAACATGTGATTCCAGCAGAGACCCCACAGTGTACTTTCTGGAGGAGGGCTTAAAATTAAAACAACAGTTCGGTTTCCAAGATGGTACCCTCCAAGATAGGGAGGGCATGTTGTATGTCTCATAGTGAACCATCATTCTTAAGTGAATTCAAAGAATTCATACATCCAGAAACAGTGAGTCATTAATAGTCTTAATAAAAGGCAATGAAAGATTTTGCCCAGAATCTAACGTGTAAAATGTAGTAATACCAAAAAAAGTAATCATTCATTCAGATGCTTTTTCCCATCTTTCTTCAACAATAGCCCTGAAAATTGGGCTACTGTATATTGGAATCAACTGCATAGTAATTTTATTCAAATATGACACACCTGTGTGTACTTTTGATCCTTGCTGTAGAAACACAGTTCTGTAAATGAAGGTAAATTATACCAAGGCCAAAATGTAATATTATAGTTTACAGCCCAAAGGAGGATACCGTATATTACTAAGAAAGTACATAGAAATGAACACCAAAAACACATATGCTGCACATAATGTAGTTATAGCTATTTATGAATCCCTCAGAATTTCATAACTTCTTTAAAAACAGAAAACAAATAAGGTCAAGCATTAATTTTTTTATGCAAATAATACCTCTTCCTGTTCCAAGGAAATACTTTTCTTATGGCATGTATCATTTTCTAACTCATGTGATATATTTTTCTGTCGATGTCTTACCGAACACAGTTCTCATAAGGTTCTTCACTATCTTCACAACAGTCTTATGCAAGTATTCATCTGAATTTCACAGAAGAGAGGCTTAATGAGACAACTAACTTGCCCAAAGTCACATAGCTGTTAGGTGGCAGAAGTGGGATTGAAATCTAGGTCGATTTGACGGCAAACTCCCTAATCTTTCTACTGTGCCACATTTACCTCTTCTATAGCAAGATCAAGTCATTTTGCCTTTTCTTATACAGTCAAGTAACTCATAATGATGTTTTGGTCAACAACAGACCACATATACGATGGTGGTCCCATAAGATTAGTACCATACAGCCTAGGTGTGTAGTACGCTATACCATCTAGGTTTGTGTAAGTACTGTAGGGGAGGAAGAAATTTTCCTCTACCCTTCTAAGTTCTGGCTGGCCTAAGAATTAAATTGACATGAGACAGATTAACAGGAGAAAAACAAACAAAAGCTTCATAACATGTATATATGAGAGAAACCCAGGAAAACCAAGTGACTCACCAAAATAGCTGAAGCCATCACCTTAAATACCATCCTCAGCTAACGACAAAAGAAAATGTTGGGCATGGGAATAGTCAGGGACTTCAAAAGAAAGGCAGGTAATTCCCAGGTAGGTGAAAAGGAGCAAACATTGGAAAACAAGTGTTTAGCTACACAGAAACAGAAGACCACAGAGGGAAGCCCAACATACAGGCTTTTTTAGGTTCTTCCCTGCCTACCACATAGTTTGTATTATGCTAGGGTGATAGCTTGCTTCCTGAGATGGGTTTTTTATCTGAATTCTTTTAGGCAGTTAAGGGGGAGGTAAAAAGAAAAATTTTCTAAGTCTTTTGTTTCTTAGAAATAATCAGCCTAGGGGGCTGGCCCCATGGCGTAGTGGTTGAGTTCAGCACACTCCGCTTCAGTGGCCTGGGTCCGAGGGTTCAGATCCTGGGCGTGGACCTACACCACTTGTCAGCCATGCTGTGGCAGCGACCCACATACAAAATAGAGGAAGATTGGCACAGATGTTAGCTCAGGGCTACTCTTCCTCAAGCAAAAAAAAGACGAAGATTGGCACACATGTTAGCTCAGGGCTAATCTTCCTCAAGCAAAAAAAAAAAGGAAGATTGGCAAAAGATGTTAGCTCAGGGCGCATCTTCCTCAGCAAAAAATAAATAAATAAATAAAAATAGTAATAATAATAATCAGACTAAAATAATCCTCATGTTAAAGAGACAGTTTTTGGGGTTGGCAAATTTTGTTCCCTTTCAGTACACTCTGTGATGTTTGCACAATGATGAAATCACCTAACGACACATTTCTCAGAACCTAAGCCCATCATTAAGCGAACATGACTGTACATCTTTGTATTCCCCACAGTGAGTAGCACAGAATCTTACATATGTCCCTCATGAAACTCATGAAATTAATCATTATTTTCACTGTGCTTTATCTTTACAGATTTCACAACAAGCGAGAGTGTCAATATTTAAAAGTAACTATTTCACATTAAAAATGTTTGTGTTGACAAAACTAAAGGGAACACAACTTTCTTTGTAAAAGTTGCGGTGGAGAACCCATCACAGCTATGTAGAATGCAACAGAAATACTCATTTTCATAGCGTAGAGTTTCAGATAACTTTTCTCAGGAGAGCCAAATTTCTGGTGAAGGCAATTATTCTCTGCAATTCATTTGGTAATCTCTACCTTGCTTTGTACTCAATTATGACATCCAGAAGTGGTCTGCTTTAGATGTATTTTTAAAGCCTGTTATTAAAAAAACAAAACAAAATCTGCCAAGTTTCTGACATTTCCACTAGTACATCAGTTGCCAGTCTGAGCAAGTATGGACGCACAGTGTCTGTGGCTTTATTTCCTCCTCTCTGAAAGGAGAGTAAAGCTTAATGCCCGGGATCTGCTCTGAGTGTTTCAGAGGTCTCTGAAATAGTTCAGTTTTTACCTGGAAGTAAGTCATCTGACCCTGGGTTATTAAACAGCTTTAATCTAAGTGGAACAAAGATGGAGCTGCTGTGTTCTTGGTTCTTCTAAATCGTTCCTTGTGTCCTGACTGTTGACTTTCTGGTTCTTGGAGGGTGGCAAAATACGCCACCCCAAAATATACCACTTTGGCATAAGGACTATTTTGAGCTAAAGGCACTTAAAAAACAGCAGACGCAAGAGGGCGTTCTAACTTCTATTTTTCCTGAAAACAGGAGGTAAAAACTCCCATGTGAAAGATGCCCTCCCTATACCAGGAGAAAAGAAACATTCTTCCATGGGAAATCAAAGCC